GCTGTGCCACGTCAGCAGTGCCACGTCACAGTGCCAGATCAGCAGTGCCACGTCCGCAGTGCCACGTCCGCAGTGCCAGATCAGCAGTGCCACGTCCGCAGTGCCAGATCAGCAGTGCCACGTTCGCAGTGCCAGGTCACATTGCCACGTCAGACATAGTGCCACATAAGCAGTGCCACGTCAGACAGTGCCACGTCAGCAGTGACGTTCAACACAGTGCCACGTCAGCAGTACCACGTCAGACGCAGTGCCACATCAGCAGTGCCACGCAAGCAACACGTCAGCAACATGACGGGCCTGCCAGGCCAACTGGCCAATGAGACCATTGCCGCCTACAAGCAGCGWTGCCTGGCTCAGATAGAGGCTGAGGAACAACGCCTGCTGGCAGTCGAGGCTGCCCGCATACAAGCTGAAGAGGCAGCAGCAGCAGAGAAAACTGCGGCTACAGGCCGATGCAGAAGCAGATGCCCAGGCTCGCCGAAAGGAAGCCCAGGATCTGCTGCAGCGGCATGAAGCCAACAGCATCGACAAACTCAAGTACTGGCATTTTCAACCGAACGGCGACGACGCAACACCGGAAGAAAAGCACAAGGAGTTCCTCTCCAAACTCGTGACGCGGTTGTTGTATGCTTGCAACTACCAAAGGTCAGAGTTGGAGAGACAACACCGGGACCTGATGCAACAGCATCAGGAATTGGCGACGCTCCGCCGCACAGTGCAGAGCCACGAGGATGCAACTCGGGCACTCAATGCCCGATTGTTGGACCTGGAACAGGCAGTACCAGGACCAGCTGCTGGAGCTTCCAGCAGTGCACCCTCAAGCCGCCAACTGGAGGACCGCGTTGACCACGTAGTGGCAATGCTCGGCGACATCAGCACCTTCGCTGAGTCGACCACCACCATCAGCAGTCAGTTGCATACATTGAAGACCGAGGTCCAGAAGCTGCAGTCGACGAACGCGGATGACAATCCGAAGATGTACAAGATGCCAACTTTCAACCTGGAGAGGTTCGACGACTACACGCAGCAGGATCCCGTCCTCTGGTGGGAAGCATTCACAACGCAACTCAGGATTCTGCCAGTAGCCAAGCATGCGTACATCGGCGCCCTGTTCCTGAACTCAAAGGGCGGATGCCAGACCTGGTTGAGCCACTTGGCAACCTCCCACGGCGTCGACGTACCAGACTTGAAGGACGTAATCACATGGGAGGAACTAACACGGCTGTGGAAGAAGCGGTTCAACGTCGACGACGCGCCGGCACTTGCCATCAACCGTTTGTTCACCATGTCACAGGGCAACACAGCAACACGGGACTGGCTCACGGAGTGGCAGAAGATTGCGGCTGTGCCCAATCTGAACCTTCCATTCGAGCATCTACGCCGTGAGTTCTACAACAGGTCCTGTGCTGCATTGAGCTAGGCTCTTGGTGATCGCGAGCAGTACTCAACCTTCGCGGAGATCATTGACAAAGCGAGAGAGATCATCAAGACCAACAGGTCAGCTGCACACGAGAAATCAGCATCATGGCAGCCGACCTATGTGGAGAAGGTACGAACTGGTCCGCGACAGCAGCACTTCGCTGCAGTCCAGCAGGACAGTGGAGATGACCCAGCAGCCACTCCAGCATCAAGTGACGGAGATCAGGTGGCTGCTGTCCAGCCGCGAAGCAACAACAAGTCACGCAACAATGGGAAGGCGAAATCCGCATCGCAGGCC